GTCATGGAGTTGTAGTGGGAGGCGTGCTGCAGAGGTCGAGAATCGGCATGCTGGCACTTGGCCGTGCGCAGCCTAGGCTCAAGCGCGGCGTGGGTGCACGGGCAAGGATCAAGCATGCGGGCGGCGGATGGGATGGGCGGGGGGGTGGAGGAGGGCACTCGCGTGAACACTTGTGCGCTTGTGGGACGGCGGGCCGGGGCGCGGGGGCGCGGGGTTCGTCCGGCCTTAGAGACGAGAGAAGAAGAGGGAGACGCGGCCCTGGCGGATGGCGCATTATCTTCATTGACAGAGCACCGTAACGCATATCAATCAGAACACAGGCCTGCAGGGCCAGGGCGCAGGGGGCGCGGGGCACCGAAAGCCAAAGAATGGCAAAACAAAAAAGAGTGAGAGCTTTATTTACCTCTGGAGCCGTATCGGCCCCAGCACACGCACATTGTGAAACGAGAGTTGAGAGGATGGAGAGCCGTGTGTAGCATAGACAGGAGGAGGAGCGGATGCTTGCATGCGCTACTGTACGGGGTGTGGACCCTGAGTTGACCTGGGGTTGTGCGCTGGGCCCTCCTGCTCGGCTCCAGCCAGTAGACAAGTCTTGTCATCAACAGAGTAGAAGGATCTGACCTCGGGGCCGATGTGACCAAGCGCTGGTAGCGTGGTTTTACCTCACACCCATGGTCTCACAGTGTGCCGGCAGTCGCCGAGCAGTGTCGCTCACACAAGCCGCAGCACAAGTGACTGAGGGCCAGTGAGGGCGAGCCCATCGCTGTGACAGCTGTGGCAGCCGCACAGTAGGCTGTGTCAACTGTGCAGAGTGTGTGAGCAGCAGAGGAGCTGCTCTTCAGGCTTCTGTCGCAAAGAGCTGCATGCCACCGAAAGCGCTGTCGAGGTTCGCCGAGCGCGGCGCAGGTTGGAGGACACCGTCACCGACGAGCGCGTTGGACTTTTCACTCCGGACAAAGACGGGTAGACGCACACGAGCCGCGGTCGTCTACCCGTCATAGCGGCGAGGCGCGGGACCGTCTGTGGCGAAGTGGGTCGCGTCCTCCGATTTCCTCAACTCACGGTCCGCTCCCTCTCTCGAGGTTCTCGAGGTGGATATCCTTTGGCCGCGTTGGGTAGCGAGGATTGGTGTAACCCGAGCCACGGAGGCGTGTTTTCTGACGGCCGACCGTCAGTGCACGGAGTTGCCACTTCTCCGACTGCCCCGGCTAGTTCACGAGTTTCGCGGGAGTGACCCCATGCGTCAAACCCGAGACCTAGCGCGGGTGGGTTGGAGGGGGCTCGCCCCGTTCCTCCCCATCGGGCCGCATAAGCGGCCACGCCTCGCAGATTCGTTTTCGCGCCTGGGTCAGGCGCGCGGGGCATCCCCCGGGTCGCTCGACCAGCGATCCGAAGAACGCCTTTGCGCGCGTGTGGCCACCGCCATGAGTCTGCCTACTGGAGAGCGGCGCGCGCACCCACCCACTCGTGCTCTAGCGAGAGAGTAGTACGTCTCTCTTACACCAATCTTATTAAGGGTTAGAGGTGGCGTCCGACCCGTCCGAGCTTCTGCGATCCGTCGTCAGCATGCGCCTCGTGGCTTCGATCTTGGTCTGAAAGTAGGCGGGAAAGTTGTGCTCGAAGTGGTTCACTTCCTCGTCGGCCACGTTCAGTTCCTTCATGAGGCAGGCGGGTAGCATGCTCGATGCTCGTCGGCTTCGCCCTACCTCTTCTCGGCGCTTCCGGCGCTGTGCTCGCCGGCACATGGCTCAGTCCGCCCGCTCGGCCCGGCCCGGCTTGGCCGTCCGCTGTCGTCATTGTTGTTCCGTGTCTTAGCAGAAGTTCGGTCGCACTTTCACGCCGAGCGGCTAGCGAGCCCCACCCCGCTCGAGTTCAAACGCGCAAAAAAACAAATCAAAGAGGAGAAATCGCGCCGTCCTGCGTTCCCTCGGCTCGGCGGCTTGTGCGGTGACGAGCCCAAGCCCTCTCTTCCGTCGCCCGGCTCCCTTTCGAGATGCTCGTCCCCCCCCCCCCCCGCATCTCGAAAGAAAAAACAGATCGCTAGCGAAAAAAGAAAGAACGAACGCATCCGCTCTAACTAACTAAACATACAAACAAGCAAGGGACACACACTCTGCATGCAGCGATGCTCTGGCAAGAATGGCGCCTAAAAGCTGTGTCTGAATGGCTATCGATGCTGCCTTCCCCACTACCTGCATTTCACTCGTCACCTCTCCGGCGAGAGTTCCCCTCTCTTCTTTCGGGTATTTGTTTTGGAGTCTGTCAGTGCTGGCAGCGTGCAGGCAATCGGGCGCTATTTTGTCGTACTCCTCTTCGGCGAGCGCTCCAAATCTAGACCCCATTGCCTTTAACGAGCTGCTCTCGCGCGTCTCAGGAATGTGGCTGTGTCTTTTGAATCAGGCGCCGCCCGTTCGACTCTTGCTGTCGCCCTCGCCGCGTGTTTCTCGTGGACCTTCCGCATGAAATACTCTCTCTCTCTCTCTCTCTCTCTCTCTCTCTCTCTCTCTCTCTCTCTCTCTCTCTCTCTCTCTCTCTCTCTCTCTCTCTCTCTCTCTTCTTCTCCCTCTCCTTTTCTCCTTCCCTCTTTTTCTTTTCCCCCTCTCTTCCCTCCCCTTTCCCCCCTTCCTTTTCCCCCTCCCCCTCCCCTTCTTTTTTTTCTTTCCCCCTCTCCCCCTCTCTCTCTCTCTCTCCCCTTTTTCTCCCTTCTCTTCTTTCTTCCCTCTTCTCCTTCTTTCTTCCCCTTTTCCCTTCTTCCTTTTTTTTTCTTCTTTTTTTTTTCCCCCCTCCCCCCTTTTTCCCTCTTTTTTTTTTTCTCCTCCTCCCCCTTTCTT